ATTAAGAAAAGACTTGTGTCGCTAAAGTTTCATCGGAACGAAGTTAAGGAAAATTAATTAACGACTGGAGGCGTAACAATATGTTTTAGAAGTGTCGTCTAACAAAGAACCATTGAATTTTGGTTTGTATTTGTATAACATATAAATCGGTTATTTTATAACCATCGTTTAGTTGACTTCATGACAAGCAAGAATTCTCATAATGTTTCTGAGGTTAAGTGAGAACGTAAAATGAAAGTCAGAAAATATTTAGAAATCCAAAATAAATTACTTTATTTTTTCAGCAAAATTACGAATCATGGCTAAGTGGTTAGGCCGCTCGACTCGCAATCTGCAGGTCGCGAGTTCGAATCCCCGTCTCACCAAACATGCTCGCCCTTTCAGCTGTGAGAGCGTTATAATGTCACGGTCAATCCCACTATTCGTTGGCAAAAGAGTAGCCCAAGAGTTGGCGGTGGGTGGTGATGACTAGTTGCCTTCTCTCTAATCTTATACTGCTGAATTAGGGACGGCTAGTGCATATAACCCTCCTGTAGCTTTGCGCGAAATTCAAAACAAAACAAAAACTATAGAAATCTTACTGACTGACTCTTTCTTTTAGTAGAAGGGATACGTACTAAGTGTATCAAACTGGAAAACAAATATCGAAACAGTGTACTTCAAGATAGTACTTAACAGTTTATGAATTTTTGTTTGTGCTTGTTTTTATAATTTGGGAAAATTTCTAATAAAGATAATTATTTATCTTTATTACCCACGCAGATGGTTACCATATGTACATTGTCCCCCTCGTTCGTCTTTTTATGATAAAGAGATAACAGCAAACATTATTTTGAGAAGAAACAGCATTAAGGTGGCGTATAGCAAACCGTTTATTTCTTCGCGGTATATGATTTTGTATGTGTGTGTTTTTTTTTGTTTCGTTTTTGCTTTTGCAACACATTGACATATGGCTGTCTCTTAATTGTTAATTCGCAGATATCCATGAGAAATAAATAAAGACAATTTTGCTTTAAAAGTAGTGAATGACTTGAAACACTACTTTATTAACATATTAAATTTGGAAAATTGCATAGAACACTTCGCTTAAACACAAGGTAGCATTATAAGCATTTCCGCCACGTAATTGAGCTTTCTTAAAAGTATATTTAATGTTTCTAAACTATTTGTTTAATGATATATTTGAAAACCACATTTCATTCTTAAGAAAGACACTTTTGACAATACGAAATTGCACTGTAACTTTACAAACGTTTATTCTATCGGATTTGTATGAAATAAATAGTATAATCACTATTTAATCGTATTTATTGTAGAAATATAAGCTTGATATAAACAAATTAAGTCCTAAAAACTTCTATCTTCTGTTTTATACCAGCTTATATGTGACAATAACATGTTTTTAGCAGTGAGGTTTATGCTGTCATTTATTTTGTGAATTATTTTCATGTAAATTATAGCCATGACATCATTCTTTAAAGAAAAAATAATCGCCCTAATTTATAACTAGAAGAGCGTTCTTTGGAACATGGACATCCTGCTACAAGGGCAAAAACATCCTCTTGGAATTTTTTAATGCAATTGATTTCATCTATTGGATAACTTGTAGGATTGATTCAAAATTTCCCGTTCCATGACGTGTTGACTGAGGTGCTGATCTCTCAAGCAATAATTAATAGTGATCTGACATGTATGCAAGTCTCAAACTCAAATGTAAGCCACATTTTTTAAAACATCTGATTACAACACGAAAAGAAGGAAACACAGAAATGAATGTATTACCTCCCACACCACCTACAAAGCGGGTACATAACTGGTATATTTTTCTGAGCGGATGACGGATATTTTTTTCTTATTAGAGTATGTGATCATGACGTACTTCATAAATGTCATTGCCCTGTTAACTCAGTGTGTTAGGTTGGTGCCTATGTCTTAATAAATATTAACTTGCTTAGCGGCACAAACCACTATGCTAGATCTCCAGCAAACAGTTTCTATAGAAATACTTTATTTT